ACATCTGAAGGAGGAAAGAGAGGCTGCATAACATCTGTGATCCAGGCAGTCGTTCCCAGCAAGGGAGAAAGCACTGAGTGCTGGAGAGGGATAGAGGCGCCACGGAGGGAAGCACAGAGGGGTGCGAGCGGGGACTAGCAGGAGAGAAGATGTCAGCGGCACAGTCTGTGTGGAGCCTGGAAGTCGAGGACGAGGTCACATCAGATGTGGAGTTGAAGAGAAGCCACCAGAGGGACCCAGTGTTGCCCGACTCTCATGATTTGATCCCAAGTCTCATGATATTTGGTGGCTTTCTTAAAGCCCCAGCTGCAGGAGTCAGGTGAGCAGGTGGGAATCGCAGCTTTTCAAGTCTCTAGCTCTCACGCTTCTGGAGAAAAGCCTGAAAATGTGACCTAGGTCTGACCCGAAGGGCTCAGAACCCAGCAGGCAACAAGGAAGAACCCATGACTTTTACACTAATCCCCTGATGTTGTGGGTGGGGGAGAGGGGCTGACCCATGATTTTTGAATGCTGGAGAAACTGGGCACCCACGAAGGGAGGTAACTGGGGGGTAAAGATACAGGGGAAGGGATTGTCTCTTACTCTGCGTACATACAGCCCCTAGCACAATAGGGCCTCTATATCTCAGCTGGGGTGATTACTCGGTAAAGATATCCTGCTGGATCAGGCCCTTTGGTAAATTGCAAAAGTAAACAAACAGCCCAAATGGCAAAGAGCCACTGGGATGTTTAAATGGCTTTCCGTTTGAATAACCAAAGGGCTTGGAGTCAATCATTAACCTAAGCTTTTAGGGCTAGAGGTAAGATATGTTTTTAAACATGATTTTTACTGGACAGCATCCCTTTAAGAACATTGTCAAAACATCCGGTGAGAGCTACCAGGAAGTCTCACTGCGTTTGACTAAAGGCTGGGCAACACTGGAAATTTACATCAGCATAGTTGGGTCTCTCAGGGGTGTGAAAAATCCACACCCCCTGATAAACTAATGCCTGGTGTAGACAGTGCTAGGTCAATGGAAGAATTCTTCCGTCAACATAGCTACCACCTCTTGGGGAGGCGGATTACCCAGTACCGGATTTACAATGCACCAATGGTGCTGTCGCACCAGGCCCAGGCTTGGAAGGGGGCCATGATGACTACATGGAGGCCCACAAAAGGTTACGCCTGCCCTGGGATTACCTATGCTGGCAGGCGAACCCCTCCCATCAGCATGGGTTGCATCTATGCGGACGCACGGTACCACTGTAGCATTTCAAGTGTAGACAAGCCCCAAGATTTTCAATGTCTGTGTATGTGAGACAGCTTGGTCACTTGACACCCCCTGCCTGAGATATTCTTCAATCCAGCATGACGTTATCCTACCCCAGGTAATGAGAGCCAATAGGAAAATGGGAGATCAGGGCAGGGATTCCAAGAAATTTTGAAAGAAACAAACAAAAAAAATCTTCAAAAAATGTTTTCCACTGAAGTTTTCCAGTGCTTTGATAGAAAACGGAAAACTTTTTGGTCGTCAAAACTCAAAATTTTGTCCATGTTTCACTGAAAAAAAACGTGGGAAATTTAGGGGAGAAACCCCCAAAATCAATTGCAAAAAATGTCTTGACAAAAAAACGCCGTTTTCAATTAAAAAAAATGTTCCTAATGAAAAATGTCAGTGATCTGTAAATGAGCAACAAAAATAAAAATAAAAAGACATTAGCAGCTGGAATGACTCTGGTAGAGACCAACATCAGCCTTTATTAATATTATTCATTAGTCTTGCTTGTGAAAATCACAATTTTCCGTTGTCTAAGCAGGAAGAGTTCATTAAACCGGTGCTGTCCCCACCCTGCCCCAGTGCATAGCGGGTGCTACCATCCATCATTCACAGGTGCTCTCAATTGCTCTTGATCTCCTGCAGATAGAGGCAGGCGTGGTCATAGTGGCAGGCTCTGACTGCCCCAGCCAGCTCATCTCTGCTTCCTTTCAGTTTAGCTACTTCTGGTGCTGGATGCTTGACCTGGCATTTGTTTCCAGGTAATTAGCAGTTAAGGTAGCTTTGAGAAGCAAAGCGTCCAAGCTGGAATGTCAGACTCAGACCCATCAGCCCATCCCTAATCCCACAGGGAAGTGCCTCCTTTGTGTGTGTTTGTAGGTTGGAGGGTTCTTATTCTTCCTCGCTTTTCCCTGCACCCAAATCCTGGCCCAGAGGTCACCTGGCTTTCGCCTTTATTCCATGACCCGGGAGCATGGAAATGGCTCTGGTCCCCATGGCGACGCTCATACCAGAAATCCCCGCTGTCTGTCAGCGAGGGTCCCCAGCTGGCAGGGCATTGGGATCACGTGGGATCCTCCAGGCTCGGCTGTGAAGATGACTCCTGCACTGACTGGGCCAAAGCCCCTGGTCGTCACTCAGTATCACTCAAGCAGGGGGCCCACTGGAACCAACGTGAGTTTGCCTGAGTAGTAACTGAAGGCCTGATGCTGCCCCCCACTTACTTTCGCTGCATTGCGCCTTCCTGACAGGGCTAATCCCATGGCTTTCAGGAGGACTGCTCATGTGAGGGAAGGGGTAGTCAAGTAAGGGCTGAATCACTGGTTGCGCCTACAAAGTCAGAAGAAACTTAGAGAGTCCCAGCTATTATTGTGATTACGGTAGTGCCTAAGGGCACTGGCTCAGATCAAAGCCCCATTGCGGTTGGTGCTATAAAACAGAGTGAGAGTCAGTCCCTGCCCCAAAGCGCTTACAATCTAGATAGACAAAACAGAGGGGAAAGAGACACAGATAGATCAAGGGCAGAGCTGGGAAAAGCACCCAGCTCTCCCGACTTCCAGGCCAGTGCCCTACATGCTATATGATGCTGAGGGACAACCTGGATTTTACACACTGTTTAAGGTTCTGGCTCGGGCAATGCCCTGATCTGGACCCTGCACAGCCCCACTGAACTCTGGGTATGCTGGCATGAGAGCAGAATTCGGCTGTAAGGGTCCCATGTTGGATGCCCAAAGTTAGTGGACACCTTTGAAAATCCGGGTGCAAGCCAATACAGAACAGGGCACTGGAGGATACCGGAGGTGAGGGAGTTTTAATAAAGCACATTTCAAGTTTCTAAGTGAGTATCAATCCTATCCCAGATCAGTGCCTGTCTCCTCCTGCACTCCATATGCTAACTATCCCATGGGTTTTGCTTGCTAGGCAGCACCACCTGGTGGTACTGACCTGCCATGTTAGCTTCTTTCTTTGCTGTGGTTTAGTTAGTTTTGGGGAGCTGAAACCTTGACCCTGTTGAAGTCAAAGGGAGTTTTGCCATTGACTTCTGTAAAGCGAGGAGTTCACCCCGATGTTCTACAGGGACACACAGGCATGGAGGTCGGGGTCTGCTAACTCTTGCTAAAAATTGCATGTTTTTGTTCTCTTTTATAATGACCTTCCTCCAGGGCTCTTAGGAAGACCTGAAGTGAGGTGTTTGCTCTAGATGCTGCTTCCCACTGTGCTGCAGTGGGGGAAAGAGTCAGAAATTGCTACTCGCCTTCCTATGCAACCCCATTCCAGGTCTGGAAACTTCCTCTACCTTCCCCCTGGTGAGTCACCCTCTTTCAGCACTGTAATCAATGAACGCTCTCTGACCTCTGCCATGGATGGGGATATTAACCTGTTATAACCCTGAACCATGTCAGATGACTGGGACCTAGGGATAAAGATCACCTGGCTACCAACAACACTGCGTGTCAGCCTTTCATTCCAGGCACATGTGTGCAGACAGCCCTAGCACACACATGTGCATTTGCTGTCTCTGTGTGCACTGCTCACACCTCCTGTGTGCCTGTCTCTCCCCAGCTGTCTTGTTCACCACCACAGGGGAGCCTCGCAGACCTAGCCCCCACCCTCCAGCCTCATTAACAGACACAGTAGATCCCTCACTGAGTTCTGAGGCATCCGAAAGAGTTGTTGGTGCCCAGGACTTCAGCATCTCCGGAGAGTGGCCGGGAATGTGCCCGGGAAAGGGGGATGATGGGATGCCCCTGGGCCAATGACAGGAACAAAACAATTGCCGCCCATACCCTGCTCCCATGCTTTGGTTCTCCTGCAAGTGAAGGTTCCACTGCGCAATGCAGGCAGGCAGTGAGTGAACCAGCCTCTGGGCAGAGCTTGGTGCAGAAAGCTCATTCCCTTTTGAAGAGGATTTTGAGATTTCAACATTTCTCTCATCAGCTTAGAGCATCTGCACTAGCAGAGATGCTGGGGATGTGGAGATGCTGGAGTGAAAGTTTTGTTTATGTTCTGCATTGCATTTTTTGTTAATCGATGAAACACTCCACAATCATCTATCAGTCTGTCTGGACTTGTTGAAATGCTGGTGAGGGAAAAATCAAGTCAGGGCTCACCTGCAACACCACACTCACTGGCAAGGGGGCGCACTGGGTCAGCCTGGAGCATTAACAGTTCTCAATACACAAAGGAGAAACCTACGGTCTCTGTGAGAAAGCACCCAGGGGTGTGACTGGTGTAGACCTGGAGTCTAGTCCCAGCTCTGCCACTGATTCAGTGTGGCTTTGGCAGGTCACTTTCCACATCTCCGTGACTCAGTTTCCCCATCTGTAAAATGAGCATAATAATGTCTTCTAAAAATATGCTGAACCCAAAGATATAGGCTCAACACAGGAATGACTGGATGAAATGCTTTGGTCTGCTACTAGACACACAGGCTAGGTAATCATAATGATCTCTTTTGCCCCTGAAATCTATGGATGGATCTAAGAATACTTCCCGACATGAGATGGTTAGTTGGAAGCAGAAGTATTTGTAAAGCACTTTGGAAGGGAAGGCTAGAGCGTATTTATCATTAAAGATTGAGAGTTGTTTTCTTTTATTACAGCAGTCATTAAACCGGGAGCTCCGTGCCCTTACACACAAGTGTCCTATATTCAAACTATAGTGGATTGCAGCTGATGTGCGAGGCTGCCTTTATCTCAGGGAGTGGTTCCTGTGTTCTCCTGTGGGTGGCTGACTGGCAACGCAACTTATTACAGGAAACTGGATAACGAAAGTGGTCATAAGAAAAGAAACACATTACAAGTCTCGGCTTCAGCATGTCTGCCGGGAGAATCGGAATCCTGGTAGCTCTGTCTTCCTTACAGCAGATTCTAGGTACGGTATGGAAATCTTTGTGCTGCTTTGCTCATGTTAAGGGCATAGTCCAAGCATAGCAAATGCTTTCTGCTTTGTCTTTGCCAAAGCAATCAAAGTCTCTGTGGACGGGGCCTCGGCCATGTAAAGAAGGAGTGAAATGTAAGGCTCTGGGGTGGATAAATGTCAAATGAAAGGTTTTCCTCTCAGGTGCGCCCACATTTGAAATGGGAGGGGGGATTCCCTGTTCATGGAGATATACCGACACTAGCTGTGCTCGAGTAGTGCCTAAAACTAGCAGTGTGTCCGTGGGGGCACAGGCCCGGGGGGTCAGGTGGGATTGTTCTCGGGATGGCTAGTCCGAGCCGCTGCCAGTGCTGCTGTGGACATGCTGCTATTGTTAGGCGCTAGCTCACGCAGAGCTAGTGCAGGTACATTTACATGAGCTGGGCATCACACCCCCACCTCAGATGTGGACCTACCCTGAAAAGCATCTTGCTGAAGGAGCAGGGATAGCTAGAAATTGGTTCTGTCCTGAAAACCCCAGGTGCCTGGTGTGCAGGACTGGCAGGGCCGTGGCCTGCTTCGCACTCGGAAATCTGGAATTTTTGGAGCAATCTGTTTAAAAAAATCGGAGTTGAAACAGTTGTCTGAGGTCTGGTCTATACTACCCGCCTGAATCGGCGGGTAGAAATCGACCTCTCGGGGATCGATTTATCTAGCCCTGCTAAGCGGCGCTGATTCCTTCCCGCATCGATCCGAGGAGGGGGCTCAGTCGGGCGGGGGCGGCCGA